CTTTCTTACATTCTTTGTTGTTATTTCCGGTAGTACACAGCTCCGAGACTAACTTTCTAAATGTGAACAGTACTTTGATATTGATGGAACCCCTCAAGACCTCAAAGTCCGCTTGGCCACAATGCACCTCACCGGAAAAGCCACTGAATGGCACCATAGCCATCTCTGCTAGATTCAGTAAACTCTTCGATGACCCCCTTGCCGAGTTAGTTGCGCTGAAACAAGAATCAGACATGGTTATTGCCTACCTAGAAAAATTTGAGACTGCTAGGATGCGAATGGTTTTACCTGAAGCTCATGCCCTTAGCATCTTCTTAGCAAACATGAACCCTCACTTTTCTCTCCATACCAGACAGTTTGAGACAACCACCGTAGCTAGCGCTGCAAAGATAGCTATGCTACATGAATCATCCCTCTCCCACACACCCAACCGTCAAACCCGAGCCCCCTTCAATCCATTTTCCAACCAATTCTCCCAACCAAAATACAATAACCCTTCCCCTCTCCTACAAACCAATGAACCACAAAAAAAAACCCAAAAACCAACCTTTATCCCTCGTACCAACCCTGATAAACCTCCAAGAAAATACTCTTACCAAGAAATGCAAGACAACATATCAAAAGGCTTGTGTATGTTTTGTGAGGAACCATTTACCCCTGGCTACCAACTCAAACACAAGCAATCTTAAATCTGCTTCTGATGATAACTTTTCTGAAGCTGAGCTTGATGCTAGAGTTACAGTCACAAATGACAACGTCAATGACACTCCAGTAATCTCTATCAACGCCATTAATGGCTCAACTTCCTACAACTGTATGCGGTTCGTGGGTCACTACGGCAAGCACAAGATTCACATTCTTGTAGATCCTGGTAGTACTCACAACCTCCTGGACATCAACATTGCCAACCAGATTGGCTGTCCTTTGGAAGCTACAAGAACCATGTCAGTCAGAGTAGCTACCGGTGACACTCTCCTTACCAACTACAAGTGCTCTATGTTCACTTGGCAAATTTAGGGTTCCACCTTCACAACCGAGATACGAACGGTCCCTCTAGATTGCTGCGACTTTATCCATGGAGTGCAATGGCTATGCACTTTAGGACCCATTCTATGGGAATTTCTCAACCTCATAATGGAATTCACTTTGTTAGGCACCAAGCATGTTCTTCGTGGAGTTGCAAAGAAAGAGGCAAAATCATCACATGCTCTAGCTTGAACAAGCTTATGCTCCAGGAGCCCCAAGTAGCCTTGATTCAGCTACAAGAGATCCGTGAAAATCAGAATGAAGCACAACGCTTTACCTCTGATATACTGTTCTCACACATTTCTGTGTCTGGAGCCCCTAATGCTGATGACTCTGCCCTTTAACAACTCCTCAAGACTTTTGATGACATCTTTCAGAAACAACCAACATTACCACAATTCAGAGAATGCTTTGATCACCAGATACCACTCCTTGCGGGTTCAAATCCCGTCAACTTACGGCCTTACCGGTACTCATCCCTGCAGAAAGACACAATTGACAAGATGGTCAGGGAAATGCTGGCCCAAGGGATTATTCAACACTGTTCTAGCCCTTATGCCTCCCCTATAGTACTGGTCAAAAAGAAAGATGGTACATGGAGACTCTGCGTTGACTATAGAGGGCTCAATAAGCAGACTATAAAGGACAAGTATCCAATCCGACTGATTGAAGACCTTTTGGATGAACTTTGTGGAGCTATCTACTTCTCCAAACTGGATCTTCGAGCAGGGTTTCATTAACTCTGAATGTCAGAAGCCGACGTCTACAAGACAGCTTTCAAGATGCATCACGGGCAATTTGAGTACCTTTTCATCCCCTTCGGCCTCACAAATGCTCCATGTACATTCCAGAGTCTGATGAATCATGTCTTTCAAGACATCTCTCAGAAATTTGTCTTGGTTTTCTTCGATCATATCTTAGTATACAGCAGCTCATGGGAAGAACACTTGCAACATCTCTCCAAAATATTCTTAATCTTGCAGCAACAGTATCTCAAATTATCAAAGTGTATATTCGGTGCAACAATGATCGAATACCTTGGTCACATTATCTCTGCAGAAGGTGTTAGCACTGATCCTAAGAAAATAGTGGTAATAGAGACTGGCCAATCCCTACGACGCAGAAGCAGCTCTGCAGCTTCTTGGGGTTGGGAAACTAATACCGACGTTTCATCAAAGAATACAGTTCTATAGCTTGGCCGCTGAGTCAAATTCAGAAAAAGACGGGTTGTTTGGTCCCTTGAAGCCGCTGAATATTTCTCTAACCTGAAGACAACTCTTTGTTCGACCCCAGTCTTGGCATTACCTGACTTTGATCAGCCTTTCATAGTCGAAACGGACAACACAGGGATTGGAGCAGTTCTAGGGTACACACCTTATCTGCTTCATCAGTCGTTCACTAGGTCCAAGACACCAGAATATTTATGTATACAAAAAGGAGCTGATGGCAGTAGTCCACACAGTCAAACATGGCACCCCTACCTTTCTCATCGCCCTTTCATTATCAACATTGATCAGCGAAGGCTCAAGTATTTTATGGAACAAAAGATCACCACACTGTTTCAACACATGTGGCTTTCTAAACTGATGGGGTACAACTTTGAAATCCATTACAATAAAGGGAAAGACAATGTCGTCGCGGATGCTCTGTCTCGGGTCTCTGGTTCTCAACTACTAACATGGTTCTCTCTCAGGCTCATTCCGGCTTCTACGACTCTTTGAAGCTGCTTTGGGAAACATATACAAACTAACAGAAAATAATCTCTGACCTGAAGACTAACAGCTCTTATCACCCCCTCTTTACTTACACAAATGGGGAACTGCATCGCAAGGGAAAGCTAGTTGTGGGTAATGACAAATATGTCAAGCTGTATATCTTCAAATGGCTTTACGATTCAGAAATTGGAGATCATTCTGGTAGAGATGCAACATTACACCGCATTAAGTCTATGTTTTACTGGCCTAAACTTAATGTGGAAGTCCATAACTACATCCGCAACTGTTCTATGTGTCAGAATAACAAATACGATCAAGCTGCTAAATCGGGCCTCCTACAACCCCTACCTATCCCTAATGGCATTTGGGAATCTATCAGCATGGACTTCATTGAAGGTCTCCCTCCATCTAATGGTAAACATTGTATCATGGTGGTTATTGATAGAATGAGCAAACCGTTTAATTGCCTTATCCCATCCATAAACCGCTCTCACTGTCGCTCAAGCCTTCTTGGAAAACATATTTAAGCTCCATGGCATGCCTAAGGATGCGGTTAGTGACAGAGACCCGATTTTCATCAGTGACGTATGGAAAGAACTCTTTAGAGTTCAAGGAGTTGATTTCAAATGCTCTACCGCCTATCACCCTCAAACCGACGGTCAAACATAGGTCACCAACAAAACCTTGGAAACCTATTTACGTTGTATGGCAGCAGAGCAAATGGCTCAGCCTTGCTGAATAGTTGTACAACACCATTTTCCACACTGCTATACGCTTCACCCCTTACGAAATCATCTATGGCCAACCACCTTCTTTTCACCTCCCCTACCTCCCAACGGAAAGCTCTTCTTTTGTTGTTGACTGCATCTTATAAAAAAAGAGAGGAGGTGATAAACATGCTTAAGTTTCACCTACTTCGTGTCCAAAACCGCAAGAAGCAATATGCTGATGCTAAACACTCTACACGTGATTTCAATGTGGGTGACTACGTCTACTTGAAGCTCCAACCATACTGCCAGCATACCCTGAAAAACAAAAAGACTCCACATAAGCTATCCTCACGGTTTTATGGACCTTTCCGTGTAGAAATGGTTGCCTACAAACTATCTCTCCCTCCGGATGCTGCTATTCACGACACATTTCATGTTAGTCAACTGAAGTTATGCCCCAATCAACCTACTTTAACTCTTGTAATACCGCAGTACTGACTTGATCTTGGGATTGCAAAAGAACCTGAGAAAATCCTGGAAATACAAACGGTTAAGCGCCGTAATGAAGCAACCACTAAAGTTCTGGTGCACTGGAAAGGAGAAACACCTGAGACAGCCACTTGGGAGTTCTACAAATACTTTCCCGCCAAGTATCCTCTTTTCAATCCTTGAGGACAAGGTTGACCTAAAGAAGGGAGTATTATCACATCATGAGTCATTCTCACCAGCCTTATCAACAAAGGATATACTCCAAATATGCTTAGTTCATTTCTACTTTTGCTTTATGCTTTCTAGTCATCATTGACATGTCATTGTTTTGGATTGTTAGTGTGACCTCTGAACTTTAGTATTTGCACCATTTTCGTGCATTTGTAGAAGTTATCCAGAATTATTCAATATCTCAAACCTCTAAAACTCTCTATTTTTACATACTAAAGATTTAGTACTTTCGAGATGACTCTTCTTAAATTCATAGTCTCCTTCTAGACTAGTATTCACTATTCTTAGTGCTATCGGTTAGCTCCTAGTTTGGATCTATCTATCATACTCATCAACTTTGCCTCATATTTATATTTAAAACATTCGCTTTTGCTTTGTTTCTGGCAAATTTTGGAGATATAAAGTGATGTTCTTGATCCAAACAGAACCGCTAATTGCTGTTTTACCTGGTCTAATTATGTACTGTTGATTGGGTAGTAGTTTAGATTGTCAGCCGGTTTGATTTGGTACAGAATTGAATAGCTCAAATGAAAAGCCCATAATAACTGGACCGACTTAATTAACCTAACCACTGGTTTAGAATCCGACCCGACTCACTTTATTTCTCCTCCTGCTTCGTTCCACACCTTTGTCGATTGATTTTGGCGCTCTGGAACTCTCTCGTCGCAACATACTCTCGACTGGCTCAAGTGTGATCTCCTGTTAATCGTAAGATTTTTCATAAATAGTATTCCTTAAAATCGGTTTTCGTTTTCTTTTTGTTTCTTGATTTGGTTGCTACGAACATTTAGGGTTTGCGATGCTTGTGCTTTGTGATAGCTCTCTGCCTCTGAGATTATTATCAAGAAATTCAATTGGTTCATAAATTAAGTATTAGATCTCTGGGAATTAGTTGCTAATGTTTCGGCTAAAACTCCTGCACGTAAGATGTTCGACGATATTCCTCTGAGAATGCTTTATTTTCCAAGTCTTAGTTTACTTTTATTGAACAATAATTACATATCCATCTCTTTGTGAATGATACCCAGAGACGTGACAGGTCGCTATGGCAAAGCATCACCCTGATCTGATCATGTGCCGGAAACAACCAGGCATTGCTATCGGACGACTGTGTGAGAAATGCGATGGGAAATGCGTGGTTTGTGATTCGTACGTGCGTCCGTGTACTCTGGTGCGTATTTGTGACGAATGCAACTACGGGTCATTCCAAGGCCGGTGTACTATTTGCGGAGGGGTTGGGATCTCAGATGCTTATTACTGCAAAGAGTGTACGCAGCAGGAGAAGGACAGAGATGGTTGTCCCAAGATTGTCAACCTTGGGAGTGCCAAGACGGATCTCTTCTATGAGCGTAAGAAATATGGTTTCAAAAAACGATGATCATGTATGGGTTTTCCCCAATTGCTTCAATGTTTTGGATCTCTTATGCTATGTCTGTTGCATAAAAACTAATATGTACTGGGTAGAAAAACCAGACATTAATGCTTTCTTGTTCTTTATCATCTAGACTTGAGTTGTCTTTATTGGACTTATCTTAGTGTCCAAAGTAGTCTCTTGCATTGTGCATTCTTTGATTTCATCACACCACAATAGTAGTAGGTATGACTTGTTTTAATCATGTTTAGATAGTGACAGTACATAAGCACTAATACCGCTCAAATGCCAACCATGTTAAAACATCATAAATTAGAGGGTATTTATAATGTTTGACTAAAAATCTTATGGATTGAAAGTAGTTTGTGGCGGTTACAGTTTTGAACATTACTAAACAATTTATACGATCAGTAAAACAAATAGAAACAAGTGTGTTTGTGGAATTCATGTGATTACTGGATTAGAGGATATGCAGAAGTGGTTGATTGACCAGTCTTTATTTGCAGTAATTAGTTTAAAATGAAAGATGCATGAACAAATCCGATTATGGGCTCTCTTTTTTCTAAACCCAGAAAATTTTATAGGATAGTAAAAAGCCTGTTAAGAATTGTATTGTATTAATTTAAAAATAGTAACAGAACAGAAGAAAGTTGAAACTTCTCTTTCAGCAGATACAGATCTTTTGGACAGAGACGTATTCAAATGCTTCCAAAGCTCATGGAAACTTTCTAAATCAGAATCCATCACTTTCACCAAACATCGATTCTGACAAGAAGAAGGATGTTCTTGATCAAAAACCTCCGACGAATCTCGCCGACAACATCCTCGGCCCTGATCGGATTCAGACACACCGGATCACTCACTCTCTCCTCCCGTTTCTGCACCACTCTTCATCAACACCAACAGCTAGATACTCAGGTCCAGTCTCCGACTCCCAATGGATTGGATCGGAACCGGTACGAAGGTTTGGGACCGACGAGGGAAGGGGAGAAACCGAGAGTGGTGGTTCTCGGGTCGGGTTGGGCGGGTTGCCGGTTGATGAAAGGGATCGATACGAGCATATACGACGTCGTGTGCGTATCACCTAGGAACCACATGGTCTTCACTCCTCTCCTAGCTTCTACTTGCGTAGGCACTCTCGAGTTCAGGTCCGTCGCCGAGCCTATCTCTCGTATCCAGCCTGCCATCTCGAGAGAGCCTGGCTCCTATTTCTTCCTCGCCAATTGTTCTCGACTTGATACTGATTCTCATGAGGTACTACTCTGGCCTTCTCAGATCAAATTAGGGCTTGGGATCATCTCCATGTTTAAGTTTATTCTAATTTCTACTTTGGAGTTTCACTCTCTGATGATTGTTTGTGAAATAGCTATTAGCTGATACCTTTTGATTAGGCTAGGCTCCATTCGGGTCGGTTTTGGGTTGGGTTTGTTTCGGGTCTAGGTATTTATAAATTTTTGGTTTGTGTTTGGGCAGTTTCTTTTGGTTCGGGGTGGGTTTATAGTTAAATTACTTATAAGATATCGGTAATTTTCTGGTCCCTAACAGTTTCTGGTCGGTCCGAGTATTTAAGATCCGAAAAGACTCAAAATATCAAAATTGAGTCAAATTTCATCATATTTATCAAAATATTATAAAATAACTAAAAATGAACTACTAGTAATTGAAATTAATGAGGTACTCTTCTCCTTCTTGTCCATGTTTAACTTTATTCGAGTTTGGAGTTTTTGTGTCTGATGATTACCAGATGCAGTAGGTACACTTTCTTAAATCTCTTGTCATTGGTGATATAGGTTCACTGTGAGACTTTAACTGATGGCTTGAACACATTAAAGCCATGGAAGTTCAAGATAGCTTACGACAAGCTCGTGGTGGCATGCGGTGCAGAGGCTTCCACTTTTGGAATCAAGGGAGTTTTAGAAAACGCCATCTTCCTCCGTGAGGTTCACCATGCTCAGGAGATTCGCAGGAAGCTTCTTCTTAACCTCATGCTCTCTGATACTCCTGGTTAGTGATCAAAACAAAGAATGTTATATTATATATCTCCTGTTGAGTCAGAATTAGCACAGAACACTTCGTTTTTTTTAATAGGAATATCGAAAGAGGAGAAACAGAGACTGCTCCATTGCGTTGTGGTTGGAGGTGGACCAACTGGTGTAGAGTTCAGCGGTGAACTCAGTGACTTCATCATGAAAGATGTTCGTCAACGTTATGCTCATGTCAAGGACGACGTTCATGTTACTTTGATAGAGGTTTGTGTTTAAGAAGCTACTTCATCCTTATGTGTGTTGTTTCATCACTTTTTAATATGCTTTGTGATTATTTACAGGCCAAGGATATACTTTCTTCGTTTGATGATCGTCTCAGACGCTATGCTATCAAGCAGTTGAACAAAGTTAGTTCATTTTGTAACATATGAATGCTTTCGTGCTCCCTTTTATGGAAATTTTGTTTTTTTTCTTCCGTATGCTATTAGTCTGGAGTGCGGTTTGTGCGTGGGATTGTGAAAGATGTGAAGCCGCAGAAGCTAATCCTTGATGATGGCACAGAAGTTCCTTACGGACTCTTAGTGTGGTCCACTGGTGTAGGCCCGTCTCCTTTTGTTAGTTCTCTTGATCTTCCGAAAGCTCCTGGTGGAAGGTTAGCTTATCAGCATCACTACATTAGACCCTTTTTAGCTATAAGTGTTCCACAAGGGCTAAGACTATTTGTATCTTTATCTCTGTATAGAGTTGGTATTGACGAATGGATGCGTGTACCTTCTGTACAAGACGTGTTTGCCGTTGGTGACTGCAGTGGATATCTTGAGACCACTGGGAAACCGACTCTTCCTGCCCTCGCTCAGGTAAAATCTATAGAGTTTCATAAACGTTTAACGTTCACATGTCTTGTTTTACACTTCCTTGTACTACTGCTCAATTCAGGTAGCTGAGAGAGAAGGCAAATACTTGGCGAATCTACTAAATGAGATTGGGAAAGCCAATGGAGGACGAGCCAACAGCGCAAAGGAGATAGAACTTGGAGTTCCCTTTGTGTATAAACACCTTGGAAGTATGGCAACAATCGGTAGATACAAAGCCCTAGTGGACCTCCGTGAGAGCAAGGTAACAAAGATTTGAACGAAACTCGCTAGTTAAACAATGTGACTGAGAGATTACTTGGGCAGGACGCAAAAGGGATATCAATGACTGGTTTCGTGAGCTGGTTCATATGGAGATCGGCGTATCTGACTCGAGTCATCAGCTGGAGAAACCGCTTCTATGTCGCTATCAACTGGTTCACTACTTTCGTCTTTGGCCGTGACATTAGCCGTATCTGATGTGTGTCTCAACCCACCAGCGTTTTGATATCGGTTTACTTTACAGGGCATCATTTTGTACAAAATACAATAATATAACCGAGCGTGAGGTGGTCTCTTTTTCTTTCACAACGAATGAGAAGGTTTTAAAATTGTCCATTTTGTGTTTTTCTACTTAACTCTTTTTTTTTTGTGGTTTATAATATATGGACTTATTTACTTAGTAGCCATATATGGAGTCAAAATTAAGTAACTTATATTGATTTTGATGTATCATTTAGGCCAATAACTATTGGTCTTACCTCTTTCTCTTATAATTATCTAGTAAACTGTGTTGGAAGGAATGAGGAGAATATATGGTCAAAGAGTACTTGAAAATAATTCTACATTTTTTTTTTTTGGACAATGAAATGCTGACCTATTATTTAAGCTTGAGGTGATCTGGGAATCCTGACCTATTATTTAAGCTTGAGGTGGTCTGGGAATCCAGACCGGAATAGAACAACCAACATACATGAGATCACGATAAAATGATCGGGCAGTCTTAGCTAAATGATCAGACACAGCATTTAGAGATCTAGGTATATAAGTGACCTTGAAGTCTGGGAAACAAAATCCTCAACGTCGAGATCCTCTCCAGTTCCGTCGAAAAACTTGGCCATCCCCGGGGATTCGTGAGTATTGCTAACAATTCCTTGCAGTCCGTCCCAAAGCTCTGACATGGCGAATGTTGAATCATGTTCTTTATTACCCATCGCAATGCTTCCAGCTCAGAATGCAAAGGCGACTCCACCCTACTCACATTACGCATCCCCATCAGCTGACTATTTCCCATGCTATCCTTCCAATCCCAACCACAACCGGAGAATTGATCTATAGAGGTCCAAGAACCGTCTATCATGCAAATATCTCGTAGGCTTATGGCATGACGTTCAGTATCGTCGTTCTCTTGTGAAATCACAACTTTCTGCTCATTAGCTTAGAACCAGGCAAGACACTCACTCTCTGCATACCGGGCCAGTTCCAGAGGGTCTCTATCTATTCCTCTAAACAACTTATCATTCCGAGCCTTCCAAATGTACCTTATTAACCAAGGATAAGGATCCCTGTCTAATTCTAGCCCACAAATAGCCTTCTTCCACCAGAATAGATAATCCATATTCGCATATGTACTTTCCAAAGGGAACAAAGTTGAACTGGTGGGTATAGATGCTAAGGCCCACACCTGTAATGCCGGTGGGCATTGGAAATTTGCATGTGCAATTGTTTCATCCGGTTCTCCACATCGTGGGCAGAAATTATCGCATCTGATGTGTCTATGATTCAGTGCACTCGTAACCGCCACCTGCCCCAATACAATCTGCCACATAAGATGGCACATCTTCGGGGGTGCTTTGACCTTCCAGACCTGTGATTGGAGCCTTTTAATGCTAGGTTCATCTACCAGAATCTCTTCCTCCTTCATTAATATATTCCGAGCTACCCAATAGTCGGACTTTACTGTGTACTGCTCACTCCTTGTGTAACTCCAGCAGTATGTGTCTCTGCGATATGTTGAACTAATTGCCATACTCCTTATGAGAGGTATATCAGCAGCATCAACATAATTTGCCAGCCGATCCAGATCCCAAGACTTTGTTTCTTCATTGATAAGATCACTCACTCTCATGTTCGGATGCAGAACCGGAGCAGATGCAAGAGTTGGTCTCGC